CTCACCGCCTCTCCAGGGGCCGTCGGTCCGCATGTCCCCCACGAGCCGCTGAGGCTGCTGCTCTCTCTCCTCTTCTGCCTCCGCCGCCGCCGCCGCCCCCGGGTCCCACTCCCGCCACCGCCACCCGAGCTAGAGCCGGAGCTGGAGCCGCCGCCTCGGCCGCCGCCGCCACCGCCAGCGCTCCCGCCGCTCCCGCGCCAGCTCCAGCCGCGCGCCCCCGCTCGCGCCGCGCCCGCGCCCCTGCCCTGCCGTGCTCGTGCCCGGCGCCGCCCCTCCCCTCGTGCACTCTCGCTCGGAGAACCGAGGAGCCAAGTAGGCCCGGCGAGGCCGCAGCCCAACCCTGGGTGCAAACGACTGGAACTCCCGATATGGAACCGGAACCCCAATAATGAGCACGTACAGACCCAAACTCCCATACGAGGTCCAGATCCTATGAGTGGTTCCCAGGCCCAATATGAATCTGATACTACCCCACGCCCTCCCCATACTGATACAAACCTAATACTGAGCCCTGACCCACCCCCCAACTCAATATTGAGTTCAAACCCCTGAATCTGAAATTGGCTCAAGCAGTGATTTAAATCTGAAGCCCCATATGGAGCCCAAATACCAATTCTGACTCTAAATCTCCTGATCACCTCTCACTACCTGAGCTTTAAGCTTGATAGTGACAATAGCACCAACCCTGGTACCAATACTGAGCCCCCCATTCCTAGATGAACCCTAAAGTCCAATAGCTACCTTGTTATGAACCCCAGTGCTCTCTTCTGAACCCCAAACCTTACATAAAACTCCAATCCCAATCCCAGGTCAACGCCAACACTTTCTGAGCTGGGATGCCCAATTCCTGAATTGAGATTGGGTCACCAGAAAAGGACCTAACAAATACTGACCCCAAACCCCACCCATCCTTGGGACCATTTCGGACCCTAACTTGACCCAACTCTAATAATAATCATCTTGGAACCCAAGATTAATGAGACTGGCTTTGCAGAAACTCCATGCAAATCCACTTCGTCTCCATACTCACCCTCTACTTCTCTGATCAGATGTCAACCCCACCTCAGGCTGGCCAATACCCCAATATTTATATCAATTTCAACTGTGAGCCTGAATCAAGTCTTGAATTAGCCCTTGAGTTCAAGACTTGATAATGTCCTCCAAACTTGATATAAACCTTGGTATTGAGTTTCTGACTCCTCATACCAAACTCACATGTGGACCCTATAAATTTCTGGGGTAAACCGATCATGTACCTGAGGATTTATTCTGAGCCCTAACTAGGGACTTGGGTGAACTCCAAAGCTAGAGCCACACCTCGGCAGCAAAGCCCTCAGCTTCAAACCCACCTTCCCAGTCCGTGCCACCACCACGTAAAAGTCAGCCAAAACCACAACTGCCCTCTCTTGCCCACCCCTCTCATGAAAGATGGGGGACCTACCTGTACTGCCTTAGGTCAGGTGAGGACCCCTGTGGAGTACCTGATTTTCTGCGGGGCCTCTCTGATACCTCTATGAGTTTGGGAGTCAGATGAGAAATAAAGTTTGAGGATTGTTGAAGCACCTGGATTCAGGGTTCACAGGTGCAGGGCAGCGGTGAAGGTGGGGCCTAAGGATTCAGCTGAGAGGTCAAGTTCTGGTAATCACTGCCTGCCTTTGCCGGGACTTGGATTCAGAAACAGTGTGTCTGCGCCCCCTGGTGTGTAAGAAGGGGATGGGACTGACTCCCGTGATTCCGGGCAAACAATTAGATCCTGATGACAAACGGATCAAAAATGAATATTCCTAGTCAGTGGTTTTTTGCCCATTGGTCATTTTGGTGTGCTGTGGAGGAGGTATTAAGAATGTTATGCAGCTTTATACATTTTTGCCATAATTTAGGTGTTTCAGAATTTAGGGCGGGTCTAGGTTTTTGTTTGGGGCTTCCTTCTCCACCCCTCCCCCCAATTTAGAAAAGTATTCTTTTCAGCCAATTATGCCAGCTCATTGCTGACTTGTGAAAACAGCCCTTCCCCTTGGCTTGATGGCCTGGACTTTCCGCGATGGCCACCCTTTCTCAATCTCCTGTACCATCTCCTGCTCCTCCTGGGGTCTGTCCTATCCTGTCCCTTCTCTCCCTCTGTCCCTTCTCCCTGGACCATCTCAAACACCACCAACCATAAACTAACTTCCAAATCTCTATCTCTAGTCTGGGCCCCTCTTCGGAGCTCAGGACCCACATAACCAAGAACCTTTTTCATACCACTCTCTGCATATCCCTCAGGTAAACAGAATTCGCTCTCTCTTCCACCTAGAGCCGCTGGTCTTTAATTGACCCCATCTCAGGCAGTGGCATCCTCATTCATTCAGTCTCTGGGCCAGAAATACCATCTCTCCTGCGTCCCTAGAGACCATGTAGCTCTGCGAGGAATACATCAGATGGAGGAAGGAGCCCCAGAGGTGGTTGGGGAGAGGGAAAGAGAAAGAGTGGTAGAGGGAGAGAGACAGAGACAAAGAGTTTCTGACTTTGGGGTTTTGGACCACACAAAACCAAGTTGGTCATAAAATCTCTTGTACAAGGAGGCAGCTGAATCAATGTTTCTCTCTCATAGATGTTTCTAACTCTCTATCCCTCTCCCTTCCTCTCTGTAAAAAATCAATAAAATATATATTTAAAAAAAAATCTCTTGCACATAATCATAGAAAAGCACCTCTTAAGACCTGCTCTATTTTCTTTAAAATATATATATATTTTTAATTGATTTCAGAGAGGAAGGGAGAGGAAGAGAGAGATAGAAACGTCAATGATGAGAGGGAATCATTGATTGGCTGCCTCCTGCACGTTGGACCGAGCCTGCAACCCAGGTATGTGCCCTTGACTGGAATGGAACCTGGGACCCTTCGGTCCGCAGGCCGACACTCGATCCACTGAGCCAAACCAGCGGGCAAGACCTGCTCTACCTGAGTGGGTTTCAGTACCCGGGATCCTGTTTAGAACCATCACCTCCTCCAGGAAGCCATCCCTAACCCCTCGCTGGGTTGGGGCTTACCTGCTGAAGCTCTAAGCATTAGGTATCACCCCTACCTATACCTATGTCTGTCCCCCACCCCAGACTGTGGGTTCCTTGAGGGCAGGAGGAACGAGCCTGCCTTGCCCACTGCCATATCCCAGTGGCCAGCATGGGAACCAGACACACAATAGGTGCTCGACACATATTTAAAAGAATGAACAGGTAGATGTTCCCTTTCTGTGCTCACTTTCTCAGCATGCCCAGCACCTGGAATTGGACATAGACTGAGGTTAAAAAAAAAAAATAGAGGCCCAGGCTCCGGTCCACACAGACAAGAATCTCAAGTGTGAGTGCATAACAGCCACGGAAGGAGAGGTACAGGCTCTGTCCAGACTGCCCAGCTCTGAGCACGGGGTCCGTGTGGGTCTGCCCTGCTGCCCTGCTCCTGGGCCTGCGGGGAGGGACGTCCTTGTGCTCATCTGTGAAGGCCAAATGGTACCACGTGGTAGTTCTGTGTCTGCCGTGTTCTGGCCCCAGGGTGCAGGGTGAGGGGAGAGCCAGATGTCAGCTCCCCCTCACTGTTCACCCTTTGTCCAGGTCCTGGCCCACTGGACACTCTGCTCAAACCCATGATGTAAATACATCTTAGTTGCTCTAAATCAAATTAAATTCAGCTTGAGTCCTTACCCTAACCAGATCAGTAAGAATTCCATATCACTCACAGCCCTCCTTCAACTCCCTTCAATTGTCCAAGAACTCCAGGGGCTCGCACAGTCCCAGAGGTGGTTGGTCTGTGCTGCACAGTCTTATAGGCAAAGGCTGAGGTCCTTTTGGGACCGCTTTTGCAGACATTCGCTGTTACTGCCATGGGGCTTCCACTATTTGTCCCCCAGTCCTTGGGAAGGGGACCCCCCATTCTTTCCATCCCAGGCTCTTTCAAAAGAGTCTCTCCTATAGACCAGCAAAGTTGCAGCCCTTAGTCTTTGGCACCTGTAGTGACACACAGCCACGTCCGTGGGGGCCCGTTTCAGGGGGGGATGGGAGTACCTGTTCTGCCCCTCACTTCCATGCTGGAGGGGCAGCTCCCTAAGTGGTTCTCCCTCTTAGCCAGTCAGAAGGCACTCTGACACCAGAAAGGAAAACAGTCTGTTTACCTTCTCAGGTGTGGGGTGGGAGAAAAAATGGCCTCAGAACACAAAAGCCCTTTCATTCCTTCCTGATGAGTCAGTGGGGGTTGGGGATGAGGCCCAGGTTAATTTCTCAATAGAACACTCTGCTGGGGACTTCAGCCCCAGCTTCTCTGAGCAAACAGAAGCTGCCAGGGGAGGGCTTCCTCATCCCCCACTACCAAACCACCCACGTCCTAGCCTTCCTCGCCATCTCCCTCCGGGTTCCCAGGAGGATGTGCCCCGCAGTAGTGGGCACGGATCCCCAGGATGCTTCGGCTCCTCCAGGACTTCGCTTCTCTCCCCTCACCCCTCCCATCCCCTTTGCTATATCATTCCCATAGGCTCATAGTTATTCTTAATTCTTTCTCATCCTAGAAAACAATCTGCTTCCCTGACCCTCCCTCACCCCCACCCCTCCCCCCGAGTGGAAGAGACTGAACATTTCTCTGCTCTTCTCACAACAAATCCAAGAGCTGTTTATAGATGAAGCCTCCACTCTTCCATCTCCTGCTCACACGCAGCCCACTACAACCGGCTTTTGGGACCAACTCTCCACTGAAATTGCTCTTGACATAATGACTATTCACCTCTGTTTTGCCAGAGCCAATGACGGTGCCTTCTAGTATGTTTTCAGCTTATCGAACTTCTCAGTGGCCTTTGCTACTTCCTGCCATGTGCCTGGGTTACTTCCGCGCCAGAGGAGGCAGACCTTGGGCTCCTCATCACCATGGCCATCTCCTAGGGGCCGCTGGCACCTCATTCTTACCATCACACCCTGGGCCTTGTCCCAGCCCTAACCACTCCTTTGCTGCTTGCACCTTACTCATGCACCCTCAAGGTGAGTGTTCAGTCTCATCAGGCTTCTTCCCTGTTGACCTCTCTGTGTTCTCCTAATGTATCAGCTCTCTCCTTCTTTCCCTTTTCTTCTTGTTTGTCTAACTTAGATGCCAAGGCCCAACATTTTAATAGTTTGCTTGTCACTATCCCAAGCCCCTTTGCCTTCTG